TGGGAAACTGGATGTTCATGGCAGCACCTAAAGTCAGATGCTCCCCTCACAGCACACGCATACATGAGATCCATGGGGACCAAAGTCCTGAAGTAAGATGTGAACCTCACCAATTCTTAGAGAAGAAAATGCAGACCACATGTCTCACAACACTGGATTTGGGGATGATTTCTGGGATATAGTAGCATCCATTTGATTCATGAAAATAATAGATAAACCTAATTTCACCAAAAATAGCTTTTAGTCCTTTCATTTGCAGCAACGAAGCCCGGACTATTGAATACTATCTTAAGTGAAATAAGTCAGGAAAAGAGAGAGAGACACCGACTGTGTGTTCTTATACAGCAAAGCTCCAAGTTGGCTTCACAGAAAGTACAAGGGTATTCACCAGAGATGAGGAGGAGAGAAGAGAGGGGACAGCAGGGCTGGGTGAGGAGGCTGGGTATCAGGTACCAGAGTCCATTCAGGAGGAGCCAGCACTTCTGCTCTCCAGCAGAGTAGGTGGCCATAGTGTACAACATGTCACCGTGGTTTTCATAATAAACCTGGGGAGCAGTCCACTGACCCTAAGAAATGATAAATGTTAGGAATGATGCAATGAAACAGGTGTACAACCAGCTCACTGCACCTCATCCACATGTGAAACTTAAAAGTGAATCGGCATTAGAAAGGAAAATATTGTCCTTCATAGGACACCGTCAGCAAGTGAAATGGCACTGGAAGGAATTGTAGAAAACACCTGCACATTGTGCATCTGGAAAGGAGTTGAAAACTTGAAAGAATGAAGAAAAACTAGCTGACAAAGCTCAACTCCTTCTGACAAAGCTCAAATCCTTCTGACATAAGGATGCAAACCTAACTGTAATAAAATGAAACACCTTAAAAAGTGCCAGAGATCTACAAAACCTACACTGAAGGCTACACTGAAGGATGAAAGGCTGTCTCCATGACAACAAAAACAAGTCAAGGATGCCTGCTCTCACCACTTCCAGACAACACAGCAAGAGGAGTGCTACCAGGGAAGCAAGGAAAAAAATCCCTGTGTTCCAGACTTCAGCCAACTCACGTAGCCCCAGACAGTGGGACAAAATCAAGGACTTCACCAAGCAGATGGAGGTGGGCATAGGCAACTCAGACTCAAACTATCACCTGCAGAGAGAACAGCCACAGGCACCAAGATGGGAGGAGACAGTGCAGCCTCTGCACCCTTTACTGAGGTTCTCCCCATCAACACTGACCACCTGACACAGTGCACATCTCATTTGCATTCCTGCTTCCTAGAGTGTCTACGGCAAGTGGACAAGGATATCGGATGGGGTTTTTTCAGATGCTGCTCCTACCAGAAAATTGGCTACATTGGTGTAGATGGATACCTGATAAATCCCAGGGCTCTTAACACATACTCAAATACACACAGGTCTCACACCAACCTCCTGGCAGGCCCATGACCCCTCAACTTTCACAGACTGAAGTGAACAACCACATCAAATAGGTCAGAGTGGTGGCTCCTTGAACCCAAGCCATTTCCCAAAGTTGGGGTAACCCAAATAAGTTCACAATGTAGATCCACACAAAATCCTGTGTTGCAATATTTACAGCAGCAGTACACTAAAGCCTGCGTGTATCCATGAGGAAGATATGTTCCCCAAGTCAGCAGTGAAAAATTCATATACAAATCTCAATAAAAATAAACTAATAATCAAAAATCAACTTCTAGGTGGGCATGGTGGTGCACACTTGTAATCCCAGGAGCTTGGGAGACTGAGAAGGATCGGGAGTTTAAAGCCAACCTCAGCATTGGCGAGGCACTAAGCAACTCAGGGAGACCCTGTCTCTAAATAAAATATGTTGGGCCCAGGAGTTGAAAAGCGGCCTATGTTACATATGTGAGGGGCTCTCAGAGTTCAGCACACTGAATCCAGATACCATGGTTAGTTAACCGCACTCAGCCCCATCACCATGGTAACTGTCCTCCCAACCCATGCACAGCATGTTCCTTTCCTTCTGCTTTTCTGCCACTGATCTATTAGCCCATTGGTTGCCCCTCATAAGTATGTTGGTAGCTCATTGGATCATTATAAAAACTTTGCCTATGCAATAATAAAGTGGATCGAGTTCTGTAAAATTGGTCTCTGGAGGTCTTTTCGACTCTGTCACCACACCCTCCTCAGGTGTTCGGTGGGCTTTGGCTGGATCAAGAGAGCCCACATTTGGTGCCTGCAGAGGGACCTGAGGCAAGCAGGTAAGTGCAGGTGTTGGACCCCAGGGAAACAGGGAAAAATGGGCAACTTACCAACCTCCACTAAGGACTCACAGCTGCTGCGCACCCTCCTTAGCATGAGAGGATTAACACTAAATAGAAAGGAAGCCCAAATTTGGGGATGTGGTAATTGACACCAATCCCTGGGTGAAAGCAGCTGATGTGTTTGATCCAAGTATATGGGGAAAGAATTATGGTTAATGCAAGGCAAGCAGAAGTTAGACAGGGATATACCCTGCCTCTTCATTCCTTTCCAATTGTCACAGCAACACAGCAACCTCTGGGGCACAAAGGGTGTAACCCGTCTGGTTATGGCATCAGAGGCAGGGGAACAACGAGAACAAGACAAAGGGAGGAAGAATCACAGGTAAGCTCTGATGCAAAGTCCTTTGAACCACAACAAACAGAAAAAGGGCCAGACACGTTTAAGCCAAAGAAAATTTACTGCTCTTTGTCAAATCTAATGGGACAGTTACAGATAGAGAAGGTAAAAGGGAGAGCCTTATAGGCCCCCTTCCACCTTGGCCAGTACCCGCTCCTCCAAGGTCAGAATCTAATCCATTCTCAGACTTAGGTTGAACAAAGGACCAAGCATGGGGTGCCTATGAACAGGAGATACCAACTGCGTTCCCAGTCAATGTGAACCCCACCCCTCAAAGGCCACTACACTGGTATCCTCATGTCCTAGCTATATTAAAGGAGTTTAAGAAGGCAGTGAAGGAAGACAGACCTAGGGGTCCCTTTGCTGAACAAGTCCTTGAAACCCTTAGCCTAAGTGTAGACTGCCCACAGGATTGGAAAGACTTGGCAAGAGCCACCCTTGAGCCATCCACA